TGTGTGTGTGTATTTTCCCTATAGTGAAGCAGCTTGTGTGTGTGTGTGTGTCTGTGTGTATCTGTGTGTATCTGTGTGTGTGTGTCTGTGTGCGTCTGTGTGTGTGTATTTTCCCTCTAATGAAGCAGCTTGTGTGTGTGTGTGTGTTTCCAGGCTGGAGTTTGAGCGGCAGCAGAGGGAGGAGTTGGAGAAACTGGAGCTGAAAAGGTACCAGAGTGTGTGTTTGGTCAGAACCTGACAACAGCTATGGTTCTGTCTGTTGGGTCTGTGGTTCTGTCTGTTGGGTCTGTGGGTCTGTCTGTTGGGTGCATCTTGTAGTTAACCTGTGAATGAACCAGAACCAGATGTGTTGAAGCTGGACCAGACAGGGTTCTGGTTCCAGATGTTCAGACTGAATGGAGGCTGCTGCTCCATGTGACGGTGACCAGCGGCGCTCTGTGTGTCTCTGCAGGAGGCTGATTAAGGAGATGGAGGCGAAGCAGCAGAGTGAGAAGGCCGAGCTGGAGCGCCTCCAGCAGGAGGTGGAGAGTCAGCGCAAGGAGTCCGAGGAGGTGCAGCAGCGCATCCTCCGTCAGGAGGAGAGCCTCCGCCACCGCAGCCAGGACATCGAGAGCCGCCTGCGGGACTTCCTGGCCGAGAAGGAGCGCTTCGAGGAGGAGAGGCGCTCCGACGTCCAGGGCGTGGAGCTCCAGCGCAGAGGGCGGCGGAAACGGCAGCAGGAAGGCGACGCAGAGGAGGAGCAGGACGAGGAGCAGCGGCGGCAGCATGAGGCTGCCGAGCAGAACGAGATCTACCGCGAGCTGGAGAGGCTGAAGAGGGAGCGCGAGGAGCAGAAGGTCCGTCTGGAGGCCGAGCGCCGGCGGCTGGAGGAGCAGGAGCGGGAGCAGCTCAGCCTGGTGGGGAGGCTGGAGGAGCAGCTGAGGGAGAAGCACGAGGCGGCCGCCGCCCTGCTGACCCGGGAGGACGCCCGCCGCCTGGAGGAGGAGCGGCGAGCTCTGGCCGAGATCAGGGAGGCGCTCCTCCGGGCCAAAGAGGCTGCAGAGCGGCCGGACGTGGAGGACGCCGGCCAGGAGGCGAGATCCGCCCAGACTCGATACACGGACTTCAAGGAGGCTCAGGTGAAGGAGCTGGGCCAGCTGGAGGAGGAGCTCCGGCAGCAGAGGGAGCGTCTGGAGAAGGAGGTGGCGGCTGAGCGGAACACGCTGCTGCTGCTCACCCACGGCCTCAAGGAGCGGCAGCAGCAGCTGAAGGAGATGCAGGAGAAAGGGGCGCAGGACGCCTCCGCCGTCTGCCAGGAGGAGCAGCTGGTCAGACAGGCCGAGCAGCGGCTGCAGTTCAAGGAGCGACAGCTGGCCAACCTGGCCGACGACCTCCTCCCGGCGCTGGCCGAGGAGAAGCAGAGGGCCGTGGAGATGCTGGAGCGCAGCGGCGGCGGCACCAACGGGAACTGCGACAGCCCGCCGGGTCTGGACAACACGCTGTACGAGGTGGAGAAGGAGCTGGAGGACAAGGAGGAGAAGCTGAACCTCCACTGGCACAGCGCCCAGCAGCTCCAGCAGCTCCAGGAGACCTACGAGTTCACGGCCAACGTGGCGCGGCAGGAGGAGAAGGTGCGCCGGAAGGAGAAGGAGATCCTGGAGTCCAAGGAGAAGCAGCAGAGGGAGGCGATGGAGCAGGCGGTGGCCCGGCTGGAGAGGAGGCACTCTGCTCTGAGGCGCAGCGTCTCCCTGGAGCCCGACTCCGAGGAGCCCAGGCTCAGGAGCTCGGTCTGCAGGGCCCAGAGGACCGGGGCCGAGCTGGACCAGCAGAGGTCAGAACCGCACAATAGACAACTTAGCTGTGAGTTGTAAATGTACCGTGCAGTAGAGACGGAGCTGCGTCTTGTGTTTCCTCTGCAGAGTGGAGCGGGAGATCCAGAAGCTGCGACAGAGGATCAGCGAAGGAGAAGACAACAGCCGAACTCACTCCATCGGCAGCGACGACAAGCCGGGCCACAGCAGCTCTCCGGTCAGCCACATCCAGAGCCTGAACACGCTGCTGCCGCTGTCCGACGACAGGTACGCACAGCGGGCGCCACGGGCCGGTACCCTGCTGCTGACCAGTTAACCTNATTCCTTTAAACACGTCCAGAAGCTTGAAAGACAGAAACGTCGAATTTTCCACTTTCATCGGTCCTCGAATGTGTCGTGAGACATTCAGTTCTGTCCAAAACACGATGTGTTCAAGTGCTGTCAGGAAACTGGAACTGTGATGATTCTTTCTTTGATAAAAGTTGTTCTTTTGTCCAAAATACCAAAAGCATGATCAGAATTATTTAAAACTTGTCCAGAATGACTAAAAAACTATTTTTTCTCCCAAAACTTTTCTCAGAACTCCTTCTTTGTTGAAAACAGTCCAACGTGACTGAACATGTGTCCAGTCCAGTACTAGTTACCCAGAGTTTTATCACAAATGACTAAAACCATCCAACAAGACGTAGAAATGATTTAAATCCCTCCCTCTATGTGTAGCGTGTGAGCTGCTGATCAGTCAAGTGTCTGTCCATCTAAAATGTACTGAGTCCGGTTTTACCCAAAACCAGTTCAGAGTTAGTCCAGAATGACTCAAACATTGTCCAAAGCCATTACAGGTTAGGGATTGTAACATGTCTTGGCGGACTTCAGAAGCTCTCAGACTCTCGGCTCTGAGGTGTACTTGCTGTGTTGAAGGTCTCCGGAGGATGAACCGGACCGAGTTCTGTTCACTCTGTTGTGTTGGTTGGGCTGTCAGCAGCCTCCTTCCTGTCATGTGGGATAAACAATTAACTGTTTCCTGTCCTGTCGACAGTCTCTTCACTGAGAAGGGCCCCGTCTTCCTCAGGTAGACACACCTCCCGTCCTACCTGTCCCGTTCTGACCCAAAGACGTGTCCAGTCTCACCTGAACCCTCATTGCCTGTTTTAGTTTTGTTTTCTCATCAGTTTGCTGCTTCTGTTTTCTGTCTGACAGTAGAAGACGAATCCTCTGACATTTCGTTTACAGCTGCTAGTTTCTGCTTCGCCTCACATCACTGTGTGTGTGTCTGTGTGTGTGT